CGGAGCAGATTATATGGATTCATTTGGCGTGCGTGATTCTATGTGATTCTTGTTGAGCACTTTTCACACTTATTATGTCATGCTGCTTCGTGCATAAATTCGCTTCGACATGCGTCGGGGAAGGTGGAAAGGAGAGACGGTGACATCGACACCGTTGTCGTGGTGAAGAAAAGGGTCGGAAAACACCTGAAACAGCTTACAATGGCTCACAGTTTGATGCCAAGCTGATAACGAAGAGATCAACCAGGTTCCAGCGGTTGTCCTCAATCGGGTGATCAACCTGTGCATGCTTGGGATGATCAACCTTTTGCGCCGCCTGTTGCAGGTCAACCTGTTGCCCCTTCTGCGCAGCCTGCTGGAGGCAGCCTGCCGCTCCAGCCGATGGTCAACCACAAGGTGTTTAAGCTGGTGGAGGAACTCAAAGTGGAATCCGTCGGGTGGCTCCCAGTACACATGGTTCCATGCACGTGCTGCACTGGGGGGGTGCTCTGATGGCTTGTGGGGTAAAGGTAAAGATCGAACTAGACGACGAGTGGCCCGAAAACATTTTTCATCATGTAGGAAGTCAGAGTGCGAGTTATCCGGTAAGTGTGCGGTGTGAAGTGTTACGTAGGTTTCCTGCTAGTAGCTAGTAGCTTAGTGGCTTCAGCTAGATGTCCACACGGCATGAACATGTGAAACGTGTGACGTGAACGGGTCATGGAGAGTCTCGGTTGCGGAGAGCGTGCCCAAAGTGGAGAGATAAAAGGTGCCCATCATGATGTTCGATGATCTAGGTTATCGACATAGGTGGAGTGGAGTTGATTCGGCGAAACGAAACGAAACGAAACGCGAAACGAAACACGAAACTAAACGAAGTCGAGTGAGTTGAGGTAGTGTGTGTGGGTTTCTGTGCGTGTGTCTATGTCCGTGTGGAAACGAGTCTGCGTATGTGTGTGTTCGTGGAAGTTGAGGGAGTGTGTGGGTGTCTGTGCGATGCGGCCTCCCAAACCCCCCACCGGCGGCCAAGCGGTGACAGCCCAGCTCATCGTCGTGAGCATTTGGGCTGCTGGTAAGGGGACAATGGCAGCCAGCGTGCTGGCTTACCCACTTCAACTATGATGG